GGCACTTCATTTGCTTCAAGATTAGGGGGGGGGGAGGGGACAGTGCATCCAACCCCCGGAGAGATACCTGAAAGAAAAACTGAATTTATAGACCTTTATATCGATTTTAAGGTAGTTTATTACATTGCTACTAAAGTATTTAAACTTGTGAAGGTGAAAAATATACATTAATAAAATTACCGACATAAGCGAACAAAAAAAAGTAAGGTTTGGCTTATGACCAGGAGCGGCCAATTTTTAAAACAATACAATATTTATCGATGAACCTGAACGAAATAGATCATCCATTTATCATAAATCGAGCAAAGAGATATTTGATGGTTCCTTTAATTGTAATCGATGAAAGGCACACATTTTGATTACACTTTAAAAAATTTTATAAAAATTAAAATTGAGTCATCTTTTATTTTTTAAATTATAATTTTGTAACATATATTTTATTGACATGCTGGGGGGGGGTGGCAGTGCCCCCCACCCTCGATGTATTCCTGAAAGAAACACTGAATCCAAATGACGGACGATTAACTGATACATCTGGATCAGGGCTGGACTGGGGAGTTCAAGCGGCCCGGGAAAAAAACAACAAAAAGCGGCCCTATCTTCATGACTTTTATTTTTATTATATCACCGGTCCTAGCGGCCCATCGGGAATCTTGCCGGTGTCCCGGCGGCCCAGTCCACCCCTGATCTGGATCGATATGGATTGATGATATACTAAAATGATGGGAAACAACTCAGTCTGGTTCCAAATGTTTGACTTTGCAAGATTTGCTGTCCCTTGATTGTATCCTTCGCAGACACCAAAAAAAAAAATTTTTTTTTAAAAATAATAAATATGTAGGATAATATAAAAAAAAATATGGTTTGAGTTTGAAATAGCCACATATTCCAACCCCGCCCACTCATTTATAACGAACGAAGGGGCCATACATAAATGACGTCCCGCGTCTATAAAGGGGGAAGGGGAGGAACATATTTTTGTGACGATGTGTGACGAGGGGCAGGGTGGGGGGCTCGAGCAATGTGACGTCACATGTAGAGCGGAATATTTTCGTAAGAAATTGCACTTAATGACCCTAAATTACAGACATTTTTAACATTATTCTATATACAACATTTATAATCATTTATTTTTACACTACGATCACTGATATAATCAGTACAGGCCCGAAAAATGGCCTCAGATCAATTTACAGGACGCCAAATGAGGAGGAGAATTGACATGTAGTTACATTGTAACTTACAATGACAGTCGTGAGAATTTATGGCTAAATGTGGACACGGGAGTGAGAATTTATGGCTAAATGTGGACACGGGAGTGAGAATTTATGGCTAAATGTGGACACGGCAGTGAGAATTTATGGCTTAATGTGGACAGGGGAGTCATAGAATTAGGACTAGAGGCCTAGCATATTAAGTGGGATGGAACGAAAAAGGTTGTCAGCCCCCATCCCTTTTTTCTATGATTTAATTCTTCTTGTTAAAGTTAGTCCACAGTATAACAAATACAAGAACAAAACCAAATTAACTGTAGGTCAGAAGGTAAATGTTTTTAAGAACTGTAACTTGTACTTAGACTCGCCCATTGTTATCAAATAATAGTTTTATTTCTCAGAATTTAGATAAATATAACTTCCTGTCACTTACAAAAGTTACTGAATACTTCATTCGGCGTTGAAATATGGTTAAAACGGTGCATTTCTGACCTAATAAGAAGGTACCCTAATTAGATATCCACGGGATGTGAATTTCTTAAGGATTAGTAAAGGACAGTAGTGGACACGGAATTTTGTTTGGGGGGGGNAAAAATTGGCAAAATTCCCGGGACGTCATTTTTTGATTGGGCCCCCCCCCCCCCAAAGACAAATTAATTTTAAAAATAAATACAATGATTTGTTCATCAAATTATACGATTAAAATATAATAAAAAGTGGATTAGTTCCAGAATAACTCGGGTGCGAACGATACAAAAGACAATGTTTAATTTATTTTATAGTTTGTTTTGTTTTTTTTAATTAACATAATGAAGGGACAACATCAACATCTCAAATGAAATATAGGATTGAGTTCATTCGTTGTTCTGAATTTACTTGTGAAAATATTAAAATATATGGAGATTGAGGCCAGATTAATCAATGCTGTCATTATTTTGAAATATTACTTACCAGTGTCAAACTGGACTTAGAATAAAAGTAACCGAATTTTAATAAAAAAATCTGGCCCATTAGACTTGTTTCGCGAGACTTAGAATTGTGATAAAATGCAGGGCCGTGCATAAAAAGTGTGACTGCGTACGTAAATGATTTTATTAATATTTATTTTTAAAAAATGTCGTGGGGCGGGCGGGTGGGGGGGTGGGGGAGGGTGATTTTGATATTTTCACTTTGCCATTGGCAGCACAAGATACACCTGAGAATAAAGGAATTAGTATGATAAATAATTAACCTTCTTAGGCTTAGGTAAACACATACCAGGGGTACGGAATAGGGTGTGCATATTTTTATGTGTATGACAATATATTAAAATTCAATTAAATTACAGTCGTGAAAAAGAGTTGAAGCTGCCTGGCTTGCCCACAAAACTACGAGCTGGGGATTTTGTGAATTTCTGCTTGCCGTTGCCGTTGGTATTTCATCCTGGAACACTGTCAGCACGATCTTGCAGGCCTCAGCTATGCAATTTTATGTAGACATAACAAGCGTCCAAGGTCAAATTTATTTCTTCACAAAATACAGAGAAGAAGAATTTGACTCAGCAATTACCAATGCAGAGGGAATTGCTCAAGAAACAAACATCGAGTCAGTGTTTACAGAAAGTTGCGATAGGTGAAGAAAGGGGCCTGTTTGAATATGAATCTAGAGACGAGACACAACAGACAACTGAATAAATATTTCAGAATCTAATATTTATTGTGGTTAGTAGAGCAAACGTTGACAATACGTTTCCAACAACTACAACTGTACTTTGACATATATTTTGATTTCTAGGCTATGTGATATTCATCAACTCCCTGCCACGACTAATAGCAATATCCCCCCTTCTAATTTGAGAAAACACTGTGCGGATTACTCGACTATGAGAAGTGGCGATCAAAGGATATAGACGTTCGGAATTACGGACTTGCTGGAAATGATTCCAGGAGAAGTACATATCATACAGTACAGAATTAGTGTCTTCTATCGCATGTTATGCTGTCTTTTCCTATTACCGTTTGAGAAGCCCCATACATGATTTCAGGCGTTTACTCTACCTCAAGACCACACAGAATCATATCCATCATATACACACACAAAAAAGGCCATAATGGTAATTTTGTGTCGTTGTGTCTGGTTTTGTTAGGCACATCACGGCAGTATACCCAGGCGAAAGTCAATTTTTTCCTAGTTACACGATTAGGTTTATGCGATCAAATAAGCATACCGCTGCGTTACAGGTAACAAATCTAAGAACCAAAATTTATGTGTATCAGTATCGCGACAGAAAACACAAAGAAAGAAACTACATCAGCTTTTGCACTTTCAGGCGAATAATCTACCACATTAAACAAAAAAAAATTATGTTAGGCTACATTAAAATATAAGGTATGATATCGTGAGATATTTAAAATTGTCTGCTAATTGCAAAGGGAAGACCATTTTACAGCGATACTATCGGCATCACCGATAGTGCCGATACGCCTATGCCGATAGCGACTTACTATTATTCAAAAATGATTGTCAAAATTGTCAATAATGCCAATTGCAGGTATAAGGTTTAATAATTTTAAGGCAAATTAAGGGCCTATTCCCAATCGCCAATGCCAAAAAAAAAAAAAAAAAAAAAAAAAAAAAAAAAAAAAAAAAAAAAAAAGGCCAATCAGTCAGTTCCAATATGATTCCTTACCATGAGGGACTTAAGTTTGCAATAACACTATCACTAACTATTAACTAAGTCTAAGTCTAAGACTAAGTGATAGTGATAGTGAAAGAAAGGAAAATTTACACAATATTTACCTTAAGCCTTAATTATATATGTTTAGTACATAGTATAATAACATACAAAGTACCACACAGTAGGCTACTTGATTTAGTCTACAACTGAAAGAGAAATAGAAATATAAAATAAAAAAAAACAAATATATTTTTTTTATGAAATTGTCACTTCATTTTCATTCTACCGGGGCGACCCTACAATGGATGTTAGTGAATCTTCATTATCTGAATCTACAAACAACTGCCTTCGCAGTACACTGAGTAGTAGTAGTGAGTATTGCCGACGGAGATTTAAAAGCACCATTATCATGAAATGTCATTAAGCAAGTAGCCTTAACTTTATTGAGAGGGGCTACTGACACTACTGTACTTTGTAATGTTGTAATTCACTTAGACTTAGACTTATTTTAGTTGTAATGGCCTTCTAACTCCCAGTTTGTGATAACCTCGCTGAGTAGCCCTTGCAACCAGTGAAATATCCTCTTTGACACCAGGCACAGAAACATTGCATCCCCTCTACATACATAGGAGCCAGAATGATTAATACATTGATTGTGGGCCCTTAATATAGAGAAGAAGAAGAAAGATCATATTTGAGAGTTAGAACAATAAATTAAATTCCATACCATTTAAATAACGCTTTTTATTATATGTGATTGAAATTGTGATGGTTTTATTTTTAGAATTTACTTTTACTTGTCCAGCAATCTAAAAATAATTACCATAATTTAATATTTATATTTAGCTGTGATTTAAGTTATTTAAGAAATGTGTGTGTACTTTAATTTTAACGTTAACAAAAAGATGCAATAAAGTTTCATTTACAAATTTAAGACCAACAATTCAACAATGCGATGCCCGATATGTAGTCATTTCTTATTCCAATAAATAATATGAATGAGCTAAATATGAGATTATTGTCGAAGTCTTAAAGTAGCACTATTATTAATAATTAATTACTACTAATAATGGTAGCCTATAATTATAACAGCAAAGCAAGAGGGGATTTTATTAATAGGCTAATCATAATTATATCAACCGGGTATAGTATAGTTTTGAAAAGAAATGGTTTTATATTTTAAAGAAAATTTCACAAAGTTTATTTTTAATAGCCTATGTACTATATAAGAACAACTATCTGACTGCATCCACTAAAATGCCACTTGGGTTGGTTGCCCCCCCCCCCCCCCCCCCCCCCCCCCCCCCCCCCCCCTCCCCCCCCCCCCCCCCCCCCCCCCCCCCACTGTCTACAACCCTGCAATATCATTTTTCTGTGTCCGAATAATGGCAATTCCTTTAGTTTAACATGTGTGCTCCAAAATGTTCAAAGTTTTACACACAAAAAGTAATTAATATTACTGGTACCAAAGTATTGAATAGAGAATTTGAGAACTTAGAAAATAAACTTGGGACTTATTGCATAAAGTAAAATGAAAATAGTAATGAAGAAATTATAAAAAAATACATAAAATTTATATTATAATTTAGAAGCTAATCTCCCCATTCCTTGAAATTAAATAAATAGGTATTTCAACTTAATATAATCAGTTGATTCACATTAAAAGTTTTTTTTAAAACTCGAGCTATAAAGTCAAATTCTAATTGCCTTGAGGTTTGCAAAACATTTTTACTAAACAGAACTTTGGATTTTTTTACCTATATGCTGTCATCCTGTTTAATTCAGATTGTATTGTATTGTTCATTTTAAAAAAAAATCTTGTTTGTAATAGTTTACCTTTTAGGTTTATGTACAAATGCTCATCTCAAAGGCTCATATTATTTACAGTTGAGTTAAAACTAAAACAACCACAATGCACACGCAGCTGAGAAGAAGTATTCAACATTCACAAAAATATGCTGCATACCTTGAAGAGAGGATACGGCAAAAGGAAAAAAAAGAAAAATTTAAAAAAAGGAGACTATGGATGCATGACGGTGATGGCGTAGAGTCAGCTGAAATGAGTTTCATAAAAGCTGAAGTCGAAGATGAGCAGGAAGCTGGACAGAGCCAGCAACTTGAAGACGGGCAGGAACTCGAAGACAAGCCTGAAATAGAAGATAACAGGGAAACTAAGTACAACAAGTCAATTTATTATAACAAGAACATTGAAGATAACAAGGAGATTGAAGATGACAATGAAATTGAAAATAGTGAGAATAACAAGGAAATTGAAGATACCAAGGATATAGAAGATAACAAGGAAATAGTTACCCAGAGTGAAATCTCAACATTAGATGAAAAGAAATTCCTTCTTAGGTATGACTGTGCTTGCAGAGCAGTATCATCTTAAAATTAGTCTTTGATTAAAATATCTTTAAATTTAATTATAAATTAATGTTTCTCATTTATAACTAAGAATACTTAATCACTTCAACATCAGCAAATTAGTAAGTATACAATTTTGATTCATTCCATTCAATAAAATAAATGTGATGGAAAGTTTACTTTTTTCACTGGACATTTTCAGAATACAATTTAATTTATAAGATATTGATAAATAAATGCAAAACATGAAAATTGATTTTTAAAATTAATTTTTTTTAATAATTAAATTACTTTAAAAAATTTTTTTTAGGGTAAAATTTCAAGATAACAATCGGTTGCAGTAAGTTTTAAATGCAAATGTTGATCTCTTCTGCAGTGCTAATGTACCATCCCTGAAAAATTTTTCACCTGTAACTGATACACCAACCATACTTCGACCCTCAGTAAGTACCCCGTCATGTCAGTCGACATAATCTGTCAGCAGCTTTTTAAAGATTGACTTAATTTTAACTCTTTCCTAGGCTTTATAAATATTAAATTTATCCTAAAATCTTTTTTTCTTCCTCTTCAGCTTCTTGTAATGACCACAGGATTCCCTACTTCTCAACCACTAATTGGTATGCCCATAAACTACCTCCTTATAAAATCATCCTTTGTATATATTTTTCTAGCATGACGTAACACATTTTTGGGGTTATTTTCAACTCTTTCATAAGGTGTTTTAAAAATTAAAAAAAATCATTTAACTTTTAATTTTCTAAATTTTAGATTTTTAGTATATAAACTTCAACATTTTATTGCTGTTAAAGCTTTGAGATTCTTTTGAGTAAATTGAGTACAAACCATCATGTTTCAAAATTTGATCCAGTTGATAATTACTCTTCATTGTCTGTTGAAAAAACCAGATGAATGTGCAAATTCTAACTCATGCTCTGTTTACATTTTCAAACTGTAGAAAATATACCTCTCTAAATTGGAAGTATGCAAAACAAAGGAAGGAGAAAAACCTAGGGAAAAAATTGCTGAAAAACCCTGCCTATTGCTAGATTTCTTGTTTATTTGGATTTTCCTCATCAAATTTTGATTTTTGCACATTCAGCATTTTAGTTTTAGCCACACAAACCCCCCCCCCCCAAAACCTTTAAATTCCTAGGCACATATGTAAGTGGTACACATGGACTGGGGATTCGGCCCCCAGTTTTAGCCACACAAACCCCCCCCCCCCCAAAACCTTTAAATTCCTAGGCACATATGTAAGTGGTACACATGGACTGGGGATTCGGCTCCCTGCTGGATGGCCGCTTCCAGAGTGCAGTCCCAAAGCAACGACAAAGGCGATATCAAAGAGTAAACCCAGTGCTCCTTTCAGGTAATATGGCTATTTTGTCTCAGTGAGCTAATTCTATGCTTTTTTTTGGTGACTATCCACGTATAAGAATGACATAAAAGTGTTTCTTTTAACACACACACAAAATGAACACATACATTCTTTGATCTGTCATCTGTATTTTCTTTATTACTGTTGGAATTTTTATGTGCATTTAAACTTTCTTGTCATGTGTGATCAATTTTACATTCTTGGAAATGTATTATAAATTTTACAAATATAACTATTAAAATATAAATTTATTCAATTTTGAGAATTTCTTATCAAACTGCTGATATCAAAATGCATGATCATTTCATTTTCAAGTGCAAAAAAATTTTAAAAAAAAAAAAATTAAAAAAGAAGACTTTTTTTTTAGGTTTTAAGTGAAATAAACATGGCTTTTTCAGTTCTGCCCGACATTACATTTTTTTGGTTGTTTAAAGTTGAAAAACTGTAATTTCATATTTTTTCAACAGTTTGTTGAATACATGGATGTCTCTTATATCAACTTAAACTATAAATAATATTAAATTTAACATTTGTTCCTATGTATTTTATAAATTTTTATATGGGATTCTCAAAGCAATCTGACCATGATTATTAAGGCATTTAATTTCATTCAGGCAAAAAAAAGAAAAAGAAGTGGCACGAGCACAAGTGGCAATATCGAAATCAAGGACAGAGAAAATCTGCCAACCAACAATTACCAATAAAATAGAAATAGATCACAGTGGTATGATGATGCCTTAGTTTTGTTTCTTGTAACTTGTAATGTCCACCAATTTCTGATTTTTCAATCAAATTTTAATTTAAAAGGCAGCGTTAATTGCATTAAAATCTGGTTTAAAATAAAAACATTTTTTTTAGTTTAACATTTTAAACTTTTTCAGAATTGTTTAGTTTTTGTATGATTTACTTCATTTATTTTATTTAAAATGCTGCAAATGAATATGTACCATGTCAATGAAACAAATTTCTACGGTACTTGTTAAGGACCAATGATAGAATCCGAAACTGAATTTGATTTGGTCTTTATTGTGTATAGCTGCAAGCTAATCCGAGAACACGCCCAGTGATTTACATTATTTATATTATAAGGAATCTATGTGCCTCTGGATGATTACTATTATAGCACATTAGAAGGAGATCCTGCTTACCAAGGGAAGAAGGGAGAGTTTAGCTTTGAAGTAAGTCTAAAATTAAGTACAGATTTTTTGAGCTGCGACTCTTAAAAAAAAAGATGTGAATGTCTTGGACTGAAATAATTTATTTTCGTTCCAAAATATTAAAATCAAAAGATGTGCCTTTATTTAATTTTTGTACCATAATTTTTTATGTACCATAATAAATATGTTAGGTAGCCTGATACAATGTATATTGATTTTCGTCCCATCTTCAAATCAGAGCCATAAATGTCTAAATGAAACAAAACCTTGATTACTTGATCTTAAGAATTTAAAAAAATTAAAAAAATAATGCTGCAAAAAAAAAAAAACGGAAAAAAAAAGAGAAATTTAAATGAAACCTGGCAAATGCACAGGAAGCAGCACAGTAAATGAAAAACTTGATTCAGTTACACTGCCAGAGCCTCACCTTTCTTTTTCCAGTGCTGGTTCTGTTTTCAGCGGGTGTCTAATAATATAGAAGCCATGGAGCACATATACAAACACATAGACCCGGGGAGGCTACTCAAGTTCAACCTCAATGACCTGGCACTCTGCAAATTTTGCCACATAGAGTTCAACACCCCGTCGGAGATGCAGATACACACTGAAAAGGTGACATTTTAAAAAAAATTTCTTCTTTCTTTATAGTTTCACCTATAAGCACAAAGCTGAACTTTTTAAAAATATCCAATGTTGACATATATTGGGCAAGAATGGAACAAAACATCAATATGTTTTAACATTAGAATACTTAATTTTATATATAACAATGTCACTAACGCCACCAGATGGCACTACATAATTCTGTATGTAACTATGTTACTAACGCGACCAGATTGAGCTGTAAATAGTTCTATATGTAACAATATCACTGACGTAAAAAAATGGCGCTACATAATTCAGCCGAGGAAAGCTGCCCCTGTCTTGTTTGCTGCCTTGTGCCTGATGTGCACTACTACACGCATGGCCAGGTCATCTCTCTGATGGTTTGGTGTCTTAGCTGTTAATCTTAGATCTGGGAAGTGACCTTGGTGCACTACTGCAAGCATGGCCAGGTCATCTCTTTAATGGTATGGTGTCTCAGCTGTTCATCTTAGTACTTGTAAGTGATCTTGGTGCACAACTGCAAGCATGGCCACGCCATCTCTTCAATGGATGTCACTTTTCAGTGACATCTTATTTCTACTTTGGAGGTTGTTTTCAGGGGCCCCTCCGTTAATGGGTGTGTGTGTGTGTAGGGGGGGGGGGTGTTGTGTCTTCCAACTTTGTGATGATGCGTGATAAAAGTCTCTAGTTTGTATTACAAATGAGTGACAATGGTGGGGGTGGGGGTCAAAAGTCAGCCATAACAGTAGGACATCATTTATGGAGGTTGTGTTCAGCGGCCCCTCCGTTAATGGGTGTGTGTGTGTGTAGGGGGGGGGTGTTGTGTCTTCCAACTTTGTGATGATGCGTGATAAAAGTCTCTAGTTTGTATTACAAATGAGTGACAATGGTGTGTGTGGGGGTCAAAAGTCAGCCATAACAGTATGACATCATTTATGGATGGGCCTTAAAGCATCCGTTGTGACCCTTGCTCCAAGCTATCAATGCTGCCTGGAACATCCCCCACAATTTATCTGACATTGAGGGAAAGTGACTGTTGATAGTAACTTTTTGTTAGCACTTGAGTGACTGTTGATAGTAACTTTGATAGCCATTAGGTGACTGTTGATCATAACTTTGGTAGCACTTTATGTGACTGTTGATCATAACTTTGGTAGCACTTTAAGTGACTGTTGATCATAACTTTTGTAGCACTTTAAGTGACTGTTGATCATAACTTTGGTAGCACTTTAAGTGACTGTTGATCATAACTTTGGTAGCACTTTAAGTGACTGTCGATCATAACTTTGGTAGCACTTTAAGTGACTGTTGATCATTACTTTGGTAGCACTTTTTGATGGTTGTGAATGATAAAGTTGCAATACATAAAATGCAAGCAGAGCCAGGCACACAGGGCTCCTGTTAACAAGATGCACATCATCAGCTCATTCCCATTGTTTGATTTCAGGTGCACCTGAAGAAAGCTGATGTCCTGATGTGTCGTATCTGTGAGAAAGAAAGCGCCAATTTTAATTCCCATTCCAATCACATGAGCAATCACCATAACATGTGTGAGATGCCCTATGTTTGCCAAGTGTGCCAGTTCAGGTCATCTATGCACAGCGATGTTGTTGACCACTTTAAGAAGGTAAACATATACAAGTGCTCTCTTTCAAGTTGGGATTCTTTTGAACTGGCATATCTGTATTTTTTACTTTTAGTTTTAATGCACAGAGCTGAAGTGATGTATAATGAAGTGATTTTGTATGAAAATAGTATATGACCTAGATTGGTTGTGCACAAACAAGGAAGGCGAATAAAATAAGAAATTATGAAATACTGATTATGAGAAAGTCGAATGAATACCTAAGATAACATAAAATACTGATTATCAATTACTTAGAGTATGAACAGTGCTTGTATTACAGAGAGTATGAACAGTGATTTTATTACAGAGAGTATGGATAGTACTTGTATTACAGAGAGTATGGATAGTACTTGTATTACAAAGAGTATGAACAGTGCTTGTATTACATAGAGTATGAACAGTGCTTGTATTACAGAGAGTATGAACAGTGATTGTCTTACAGAGAGTAAGGACGGTACTTGTATTTCAGAAAGTTTGAACAGTGTTTGTATTTTAGAGAGTATGGATGGTACTTGTATTTCAGAGAGTATGGACGGTGCTTGCATTACAGAAAGTTTGAACAGTGCTTGTATTTCAGAGAGTATGGATGGTACTTGTATTACAGAGAGTATGGATGGTACTTGTATTTCAGAGAGTATGGATGGTACTTGTATTACAGAGAGTATGGATGGTACTTGTATTTCAGAGAGTATGGATGGTACTTGTATTACAGAGAGTATGGATGGTACTTGTATTTCAGAGAGTATGGATGGTACTTGTATTACAGAGAGTATGGATGGTACTTGTATTTCAGAGAGTATGGATGGTACTTGTATTTCAGAGAGTATGGATGGTACTTGTATTTCAGAGAGTATGGATGGTACTTGTATTACAGAGAGTATGGACGGTGCTTGCATTACAGAAAGTTTGAACAGTGCTTGTATTTCAGAGAGTATGGATGGTACTTGTATTACAGAGAGTATGGATGGTACATTATTACAGAGAGTATGGATGGTACTTGTATTTCAGAGAGTATGGATGGTACTTGTATTACAGAGAGTATGGATGGTACTTGTATTACAGAGAGTATGGATGGTACTTGTATTACAGAGAGTATGGATGGTACTTGTATTACAGAGAGTATGGATGGTACTTGTATTACAGAGAGTATGGATGGTACTTGTATTACAGAGAGTATGGATGGTACTTGTATTACAGAGAGTATGGATGGTACTTGTATTACAACAGGTTTTGCTATCAAGCTTTATTTTAAATGATGTTTTAAAATATGCTGCTGTTGTTGTTGTTGCTGCTGCTATTGTTGCTGCTGATGTTGCTGCTGTTACTGTTGCTGCTGATGTTGCTACTGTTGTTGTTATTTTTTTTGTCCCAAAATTTTCCAGAAACACAACAACTCGGAATTTCTCCTGTGCTTGTTCTGCCTTCATGTTTTCAAGTGGTGCACATCCAGGAACACAGATTTGCGAGCAGACTATTACTGCCATCATATTATTAGACATCTCCAGGTATCCATAATCCAGCTCACTTTTTAAAAAAAAGTTCACTGATTTTTTTTTTTTTTACGCAATATTTGTCATTCTTTTCACTATCAAGCTAAAGAAACCAACTTTACAGTTACTTCCCCTCAAGGAATTATAAAAGTGTTGGACTGCGATAAAGCTTTAAAATAGATTAATTAGACACGAAAACGTGTTGTGTCAATATAACAATATATGTTTAGCTTTAATAATAATTTTACACAATACGCAAGTAAAAGTTTCGGCACATGCCTTCATCAGCACAACAACAAAACATTTAAATAAGTATAAATTGTCTATATAAATGTGCTTCTGTTGGGGTTGGTTTTTTGGGGGGGGGTTTGTTTTGTTTTTTGTTTGTTTGTTTAAATTTTAACATTCATGAACAAAATGTTCACAGCTGCCATGATCTAAAAAATTTTGAGGTGCCATCTTCACACCTGTTTATGTTAAGACACCCCTCGCATGCAAAAATAGTCCTACATACATAAAAATGAGTATCCCATCCTCTCAAGCTCTTAATAGATATGAATATTTGAAGTTTTGTTTTAAAAAACCAAAAAAAAAACCCATTTACTTCATACTAACAGGCTTGTGGGAAAAAAAAACCTGTTGACAGAGAATATATTTTTTTATTAATGGTACTGGTAACAATGATAAAAAAATAGATATTAAAATTGCAGTGGTAAAGAACACTTCAAAAATACATCTTCATGAGGCTGACCGCACAATGTTTAAAACATTTGATGGGAGTGTATTGAGAT